GTTCTAGTGAAAATATTGACATTATAGAAAACATGACTCTAAGTTGTATTTTTGAAACTGTAAAAAAGTTTCAGTCCAAAGTCTTCATGCCACTTTTAAAAGAAAGTAGAAGTATAAATAACATGGATTATTTAATGCACAAGAAGATCTTGATGGGTTATGTCAACACTATCTTGTTTCTCTTTACTACTCAAATATGTTTGAAGACTGGTCAAGATTCCTGACTGCTACATCCTTCTCTCTGATTCCTTCCACAACCCATTGCCATCTCTCCAACCTTTCTATTGAAACTGCTCTGTCAAAGGTTTCCAATGACCTCGATATTGCCAATTAAGTTACCACTTAAGCAACTGCCTATATGACTTGTATACTGTTGACCACTCACTCCATTTATTCCTTTTATTCATTCATTCAAGAAATACTTGTTGCTTAATTTGAATGTGTGTGAATGAGTCTGCATGGCATAATTTTTAATCTCTTTAAAGAGATTAAAAGAGAGCGGTGGTCCTGATCCATCGCCACTAGATCTTTTGCATTAGACTTTTTAAAAACAGCGATGGACCTGCATATATCTGCTCAACTTTTTGCAAATGGTCCTTGTCTGAAAATGGCTAGGAATGTTTAGAGGCATAACACATGGAAGCTAAAAGGACAGAAATTTGATTAGCACAGCTCCAGCTATCAGAAGGATCTGCATATGCATTCCTAGCACCATATCTGAAAGATGACCAGCCTTCTTGCTAAAACTAATCTCTTTTCATAGAGCATTTTCAAGAAAACAGGATCTTGCATAGGGATGTCTACCAAATTTACAGTTTTAATTTCAGTGCCTGTACATTTAGCTGTTGTTTATTAAATCTCTTCACTAGTATATCATCTACTTGAAAAATATCTCCTGTGCTTGGGAACCTCAAAAACTAGAATGGAAGCTTGACAGAGTAGGATTAGGAAGAGTAGGGTGTCCAAAAATTGTGGTGTGGTGTGGACTTTCGAATGAACTGAATATTTTATTTACCCCATATACCCTTCTTGAAACATAGTTTCAGTTTATTCATTAATACTAGATTTTTCATAGATTTTGGATGGATGTTTGGTTCACTGGAGATTATTTACCCTATCCATATCCATTTATTAAACGGGACCAGTCTGCTGCTATTTCTTTATGGGTTTCATAACATCTCAGAAGCTAAATTGAACATAAAGGAAGACCAAGTCCCCTATGTAAAAGGAGGGATGTTGAGTTTCTTGCACTTAAATGTACAGCAAAAAGAAAACACATAGGACAAAAACCCTGCAGGAAATATTATGAATGTCCTAGAGCAGAACAATGAAAGGTGTTAGAGGAGAGGTGATTCTTCTATTAAGACAAATTAATGTATAATGTAATATCACAGCATTTTTTTAATTGTTTGTGGATTAGCATATGGCACTTTCCCTTGGGAAAAGACATCAGGGATATCTCTTCACTCCCTTTCAGCCCTAGTGCTGAAGCTCTAATGCTAGGACACTTCAAAGTAGCACAAGCAGCTTCTTGCACATGCTACAGAGAAGTCTCCCCTCCCAGGGGGCACAAAGACAGTTTCAGAAACAGCAGATTTATATGATATTTGAGAAGGAAATATCCTTCAGAAATAACCTCAGAAAGATATCAAGAAAATGGCAAAAATTACCTAATATAGGCCGGACACACCCAATGTTCCACTGTGTTTATTTGTTCAAAATTAATTTTGGTGACTTGTTTTCCATGATATGAAAGGCCTATCAATCTTGAGCCATTCTTTCTAGTTAAATAGAGGGCTCCTTCAATCCTCAAATGTGATTGTAAGCTGAGCTAACACAACACCCCCATGGATGTCAGTGGCACTGAGTTTTTAGGGGTTCAGTCTTCCCTCAGAGCACAGTACTTTCTCCTGAGTTATGTTTCAGTTTGGTCTTAGGGATAAGGCTTCTCAGGCACTTGTGTGGTTACAATTCTTATTGATTTCAGAGACTGCTGAGATGTTCTTTTTATGAATGCCACTACATGACCCTCATGTGTAGGAGAAGGCAAGGTGGCCTCCCAGCCAGAACTTTATTCTGAGAAACATCTATGTTTTGTTGCTAAGGCAACAAGGGCATTCATGGCAGAATAGCAGCTACTTTCCATGTGGAAAGTATTAATGACAGAAATGATTTGTGAAACTAGGCCAGAAGCACATTTTCCCTTGACTTATCATATACTATTTTTTTCCTTTTGTTCTCTGGCCACCTTTTCTGAAAAACTCTTTGATGAAAAAAAATCCAACCCCCCAAGCAACAGAAAGTGACTGTAGTTCATGAGAAAGACCATTCATAAATTCATAGACATGGGCAGGCCCCACCTAGAAACTCATGAAATCTTTGAATATGTTATAAGTCTGAAGGTTTCTATTTTAAGGTCTCATAAGAGATATAACATTTGAAAATGCACAGTTAGCATTATTGTTTTCTTTTCCCCAAGTGATTCCATTTCTTCTTTCCCTGTACCTTCAGATGAACATTATAACCAAGTAGAAATGCACCTTTCAATAAACCATTGTTCCCAGCCAAAGTCTACTATAAAGGAAGACAGACGGAACTTCCATACTATCCAAAAAAATGTATTTATCTCAGGCCAAATATTCAGGAAATTTGACATGTTTTCCTGAGGGGATAAATATGATATGGTAGTTATGATCAGACTTCTGGACTTGAATCCTGGCTCTGTCCCTTTCTAACTCTGTAGACTTGGGCCCATTACTTAAACTCTTTGTGCCTCAGTAGGCTAATCTGGATAGTGGGTATAAGAACAGACCATGCTTCAAAAGGTGGTATTTGTGTTAAATGAATATTTAAAACTGTACCCGTACATAGTAAATATGCAACAAATAAATGTTAGCTGTTATTATAGAAGTTTCAAAATAAATAATCCTCCTGTGCCCATTAGAGAATATAGAATTACTGAATTTTAGAGGTCTTTTTTTTTTTGCACAAATTACAATAGTATTTTCTTTAAAACGTTTTGTAATAAAATGGTAATGGATGAAAAGAAATAAGTCAATATAAAATATAACATTATTTCCAGATTGAGGAACAAAATAGTTTATTACATCTTCAAAATTTAGAAGTACAGTACATTCTGGGAGGCAAAATCATTCCCTGAAACCTGACTTTTAAGATTATAAACTAATAAATGTATAAAATCAAAAAAATTAGCTAATGATCAATGTGACATGGATCTCTAATGGATCCAAAGAGTAGTAGAAATTACATAGAAGTTACTAATAGTCTCAAAATAAAAGTTGAGAAACTACTGAATTTGTAACCTTAAATAGAAATACAACTAGAGGGAGAAAGGGAAGCTCACCCCCACTGTGTAGCCTCCCAACAATTATCAGCATTCTCTAGAAATTGACATATTTTCAATTGGCAATAAACTTGCATGTTTACTTAGCAGTGAACTTTGTGATTGAAACTTAAGTGGTAATTTTATGTCGTATATATTTTATAGTTTTGTAAAACTGTCATTTTTTTCATTTAAAAAATTTTTAAAGAGAGGCCCTTTGGAAATTGCTGAAGTTCTCAAATACTTTTGTGAAAATTACTCTTTTTATGATTATGTTGTAAAAGTCAACCACAAAGTGCTATTATGTCAGAAAAATTATAACCACCCCCCAAAAAATAACTTCATTTTTATTAAAAATTAATGGATTTTTGGAATTAAAAGCTAAATGTTGTTGAAATAAATTTATTTGTTTAAAAAAAAGTGGTAAATCTATTAGACATATAGAATGATGGCACCTTTTTATGGACCTGTCCTCCACCATCAAACCCCAGCTCTGTTGTTTGATCTTAACCCTCTTTTTCACAAACAGGTAAAAATATTATGGTAGGTAGCCAAAGCATTCTAGAAATATTGTGTGAACTATCAAAATATATTATTTTTCTTGCTCCAGGATTTTACCTATAGCCAACACAATTTTATGAAAATTTCTACTCAGTATTCAACAAAGCCACTTCTTTACCCCAGAGAGGATTAATCACAGGAAAGGACTGGGAAAGACAATTGCCCCAGATGAAGCTTAAGCACACTCCCGCTGAGAAGCCCATTCTATTTTAATTTGCCAAGTAAAAGTGTCCTAGTAAATCACACTGCTGTCATTATCTCATTAAAAATACTATACTTGTCACTCCCTTGCCTCTTTCTCATCTGCTCCCTACAACTCAAATTTAACATCACCCTTAAAAGACTTGACTTTATCTAAGGTCAATTGGGGACAGCAGCTTCTGCTGTTATTACTGCCACAAATTCCATACAATTCCAGTCACTATTAGATATTTACTATATCCATGAAATTTACTAAGCACTGAGAAGAGTTAAAAGGAGCTATTAATAAAAAGCTTGCTTTTAGCAAACTAATGGCCACCCTCATTAGAAAAGGGAGCCTGATAACCAGGTCTTTCATAAGGTCTCTCTTACCAGCATCTTTTGATTCTAGTATTTAGCTCTTGTTTAGCCCCTACTTATTTTGGCTGGTTATCTGTGGAATGATACGACACCTAGAGTACTGATAGTTGAGATTTCCCTGTAATAAAAAAAAAAGCTTGATTTCTGTTGGTATAACAATTATAAATTCCCTTCTCTTATAAACTGTATATCGCATTGGCATTATATGTGGGAAACTGAGTTGTTTGAATTGTGTTACATGTCACTGCTTTTCAGTTTCTAGTGAGCCATAAAATGACTAATCATGAGGAGTAAGAAGGAAACAGCAAAGATTCCAGATAATAACTAATATTTAATAATGCCCCCTTTGAATAATAAATAATAAATGTCACTGACTTTCTGCATGTACTTGATTTTGTGTATACACCTGCAGGTAATTATGCATTTCCAGAGGTACTTCCTTAAAGAGTCGTTTGACTTCTACCTAATGAAACATGCATTACATAGAGCACTAGAGAAAGACACTTTGCCTGTCTTAACCAAAGAGTAAGATTACCTTATTGCCTTGAAATCCCTTAGGGCCTGGATCCCCTGGAGGTCCACTAATGCCCTGCGCCAAGATGAAAAACCAAGAATTAGTTCTGTATACAAAAGATCAACCAGGAATGAATCATTTTTTAGGGCCCCTAGAGATCGTAGAGTTAGAAGTCAGACTATACAACTCAGAGCTAAATTGAGAATACATTCAATTGGGAAATGGGATAAGATAAAATTTCTTGAGTCAAACAAGTAGCTTTTAAAATAGCACTTTATTAATGAGATATTTGTTTTCTGAACCTGTGTTTCCAATCTAATTCCTGTACTGGACTCCGTTTTTTTGTTGTTGTTGTTGTTTTTTGAGACAGAGTCTCGCTTTGTTGTCCAGGCTAGAGTGAGTGCCGTGGTGTCAGCCTAGCTCACAGCAACCTCAAACTCCTGGGCTCAAGCAATCCTCCTGCCTCAGCCTCCCGAGTAGCTGGGACTACAGGCATGCGCCACCATGCCCGGTGGACTCCGTTTTTGAAGGCTCTTGCCTATTAAACATTTTTTAAATATCTAAAGCATATATATAAAGTCAGAGCTTCCAACGACCATGTGATAACCAGAGTTACAGCTTTGCTCTGACAATGCCAGATGAAGACAAAGAAGTAGATGGTTAACTAGATACTATCTAGGAAATCCTGGGTAAAAGTATAATTTTAATAGACTTTTGAAATGCTGAAATTAACTGTTCACATATACTCCCAATATGTCTCAGAAGAGACAAGTCCCTAGACTGAAAAAAACGATCCAAATTTTTTTCTGAAATCCATAGAATGTCTAACTTAAATAAATGCCTTAGAAAAATCAGTTCATATTCTAGAGCATTAACTACTTGTCATGATGGAACAATACAAATACTGTAATTTACATAAAATGCATAGTTTTTCCAACTATATTATAGTAGCCATGGAAAAATAATTACATCCTACTTTTAACTACTTTGTCTTTCTTCACCTTCCCACACTCTAATATTTTTAACTTCATCCCCTTAGCCACTCACTAAGAAGACTTGCCTATCGATACCTATCTTTAGGGAGCCTGAGTTAGTTAATCAAAACATTAGGGAAGCGGTTTCCAAAGTTTGTTGCATATTAGCATCACCTGGAGATCTTTAAAAACATTAATGCCTTGCCCCAATCCCCAGCCATTCTGATTTAACTGGTAGAGGGTGCAAGTGAGCAAACGGGTTTTTAAAAGTTCCCTAGGCAATTCTAATCCAGACTTAGATTTGGTTTTAACCTGCTTACCTGAAGTCCTCTGGGTCCCTTTGGTCCATATGGCCCTGGGGATCCCTGTGGAATAAAATCAGTAAGTCTCCCTAAATATCCATCTTCACAGTAAAATGATTTCAGGTGGGAGGGGAGGGAATGTGTTCTGGGTAATGACTAATCTTCCCTGGTTATCTAAACATCAAAGACAACAAATTGAAATTATTTTAATTGACAAGCCAACTGGGAAGTCAATCATGAAAATACAATTTTAGATGTAAGTCTCAGGCCTATATATTGATATTTTGGTTATAGTAAAGGAATTCTTCAGAAGATTACCTAAAAGGCAATAAAATTAGTGGAATATGTTTCATCCAAGAGGGCAATGTCCATTAAATTAACAATTTAGTGCATTTCCATGACACCTAGGTCACTTTTTTGCCCATCTTCCAGACATGGAACTTGACAAAATACTGTTTATTCTCAACATTCTTCTAGTAGAAAGTATTTCAATATGTTCTGCAGGTAGGAAACCCTTTAAAATTTATTTTTACGAGAGTATAACATAGCCTAATTTCTCTTTCCCCAAATTTCCACATTTTTTGCTTATCAAAGTATTACTTGTTAAAAATAAACATACTTTTATAATTATAGAAAAATGCAAAAAAAAACAATTTTTAAAAAATCACAAAGAGGCAAATGCTGTTAACATTTTAGGCATGTTTTCATTCAATTTTAATCCCAATAGATTTTTCTTCAAATAATTTTATCAGAGTGTATATCCAATTTTGTGTCTTACCTATTTGGCCTCACACTGTTTAAAAAATATTTTGCCATGTCATTAATAACTCGTAGTAAACAGAGTATTATTCAAGAATAAGGACCTATAATAATTTACTCATTTCCATAGTTTTGACCTTTAAGTATTTTTGATGATTGCTATTTTAAGTGAAATTATAATGAACATCTTTGTGTATGAATCTTTGTCCAACTTCTGATTCATTCCTAAAGATAGCTTCCTAGAAGACTCTAGCTGAGACTGTAAGCCCATTCAAGTCTCTCTCTGGCTCTCCCTTTTCTCTCATGCTGTACATGGAAATAAAGAGAGAAATTTCCTCCATAAAGTTTGTTGTCTGTTCCCACCATCTGAGTATGAGTGAGTGTATCTTCATCTTATGGAATCCCAATCAACAATGATTATTATATGTTACTTCACTGTTTGCTAATTTGATTTATGAGATAATATTTTAATGTCTTAATTTCACTTATCTAATTACTAGTGTGTTTGGATATTTTTCTCATTTATTAGCCATCTATTAATATATTTTCCCTTTTGTGTCTCTTCACACTGTTCAGGTGGCTTTGTTATAAACTTGTGTGAGCTCTGCGTCAAGAACACTTTATTTCATTGACTATAAGAGACATTTTTTTCACATTTGTACATCTCTGACATTGGAGTATGTCTTATAATCAGTTGCATCTTCTATTTATAATTAGCAGCATGTTTTTCTTTCTTCCTTTTGGGCACAGAAAATAATGGGACACTTCGTACCCCTGGCATCTTAGTCAATGAAATATGAGACTAATTGTCAACCATTTTTATTTCATATAGTTTTCCGAGATATTGTTTGACTTTCATTTCTGTTCTACTCACTATGTGCCCCTTCTTCTCTATTTCCAAGTACCCATGTCCATCTCCCATTTTCAACTATCCTCCAGGAAGAACCTATTCGTTATCACTCTTTTGGTTTTGCCCAGAGATAATTACTGAGCCTACATATTGCAAAACGCCTGACCTTTAACTCTACAGTCAAAAGCTTTCAGAAAAATCTCAAGCTATTTAAAGTGTTTAGTTCCATGAGCCAGTGTTATTATCTAACCTCTTCTTTAAATCTTCTCCTTCATTTTCTCTTGTTGACTCCCTCCCCGTAATTGTAATATACTCATTGAAAAAGTTTATGATACCTTGACGACTTGCTGTTAATTGTTTTAACTATAATGAAAACTATTTTTACTCTGTACATTTTGGGGCACTTTAACATAAAATGTTTCAGATGTACTTTCTATATATTTTTGTTCTGTTAAGGCTGTATTCCCCAACCCCCGGGCCACAGACCAGGTACTGACCAGGTACTGATCTGTGGGCTGTTAGGAACCCCGTACACACAGCAGGAAGTGAGTAGCTGGCAAGCAAGTGAAGCTTCATCTGTATTTACAGCTGCTCCCAATCGCTCACATCACTACCTGAGCTCCATCTCCTGACAGATCAACAGCAGCAATAGATTCTCATAGGAGCACAAACCCTACTGTAAACTGCGTATGTAGGGTATCTAGGTTGCTCGCTCCTTATGAGAATCTAATGCCTCATGATCTGAGGCGGAGCTTAGGTGGTGATGCTAGTGCTGGGGAGTGGCTGCAAATACAAATTATTATTAGCAGAGAGGTTTGGCTGAAGAAAAAAATGTAATGTGCTTGAATCATCCCAAAACCATCCTCTATCCCCTGGGTCCATGGAAAAAGATAGCTTCCTAGAAGCTATCTTTTTGTCTTCCATGAAACCAATCCCTGGTGTCAAATAGGTTGGGGTCCACTGTAAGGAACCCTTTAACGTACTTAATATTGTTTCCGGTTTAATTACTTTATCCATATTTACTTTTTAACTAAAAATACATACCTATCCAATTGTCTGTGTCTTGATGCATTTTCAAAATTCCAAACTCCTATCTATTAATATGTCTAGTTGTTCCACATTGTTTATAACTATTTCACTAATTTATTTCATGAAGTTCCTCACTGTCTTTGGGAAAGTGCCTATTCTCAGTGTTTACATCTAGAAAGCAATTCTACCCTGACCCAACTGGAGCTTGAATTGACTTTGCTGGTTAAATTACCCTTTTCACAATAACATTCAGTAGGCATGGCCCCAAAGGTTAGGGTGTCACAAGACAGTCTTAATGGTCCATAAGAAAGACATTTGGAGGCTCCATTAACTATGTTAGGTATCACTTTGTTCATGTTTTACAGATGTGAAAACTGAGTCATTGACTTCAACTCTAGTAGTGAGATCAACATAATTCAGCCCAGGAATTTTCCCTTAAGGAAACTTAGCCCCAAAGGAATCACAGCTGTTAGCATTTTAAAAACAGGTTCCTTACTTTGTCACCTTTTATTCCTGGTTTACCACATTCCCCGCGTTCACCCTAAAAAATAAATAAATGAAATAAATAAGAGAACATTTGCAGTCATTCAATGTTAAGATTTGGGTGCTTTTTTTGTTGTTTTTTTTTTAAGATTCACAGCAGAATCACTCTGGTTTTACACAATTTTATCCTCAATACTGTGAGTTACATGGATATTGAAAATTCTTATCCATGAGTCTTCCTTAACTTGACAGGATCAAATCAGTACTACCACTTAATAAGGTTTGACATTTTTGAGAAACAGATAAAATTAGAAGGAAAGGAATCTACCATCTACCAGATATTAGATGCCCTTTGCATACATTATTTAGTTGAATCCACATTATGGCCCAATGAGATCAGTTTTACCATTTTTATTTTATGGTCAAGAAAGTTTAAACCCAACAAGATAACTTCCCTTGATCATATAGCTAGTTAAGTAGAAAAATCAGAGTCTGAACCCAGGTCAACTCTAACTCAGAGTCCCTGTTTTTTTCAACAACATCATACTCCAGCCTGACTCCCAACCTTGATCAGCTAGCAGGGTTTGCCTAGGGAGCTGTGAGAGAAAACTTCTGAGACAAGACTGTGCCATGAGTTGATGGGAAAGGGTGCCATCAGGAGTTGCAAGGTCTGCTGGGAGAGAGAGCAGAGCTTGGTGGCAAGCATGCCCTGTATTTTTCATTACCACACTCTCCTTTCCTGTCTTCCCTAGAACGTTACTGAAAAAAAACTAACATTTGAGTTATGCTTTGGAATGCATTCATGATATTTTATAGACATTTTATCAGTTAATCTGACATTAACTGAGGCATGAACCCAATTTTACAGACTGAAAATTTGTGATTCAAGAAGGTTAAGCAGAGAAAATGTGGTGTGCATATACACAGTGTAAGACTATTCAGGCTTTAAGAAGGAAATCTTTTCATTTGTGACAGTACGGATTAACTCAGAGGACATATGGTAAGTGAAATAAGCAAGGCACAGAAATACAAATACTGCATGATCTTACTGATAGGTGAAATCTAAAGATGCTGAATTCAGACAATAAGAGAATAGCACAGTGATTACCAAGGGTATGTGGCAGGTGGGCATGTGGGGAGATGTTTGTCAATGAATACAAAATTTCAGTTAGATAGGAGCAGTAAGTTCAAGAGCTCTATTGTACAATGTGATGAATATAGTTAATAACAATGTCTTGTATTCTTGAATATCGCTAAGAGAAAATGTGTCCTCACCACAAAAAATGATATGTGTGAGGTAATGCTCAAGTTAGCCATAACCCTAACCCTAACAATGTGTACATATATCAAAACATCATGTGCATATGTGTGTATATGTGTATATGACAAATATGTACATTTATTTGCCAATTAATTTTTTTAATAAAAATAAGCATTTTTAAAAGGTTAATTAGGTTGCTCAAGTAGAATGAGAATTAGGATCTCTGAATATTAATCCATTATATCAGATTTTTAAGACTTCTAATAATTAGAACTAAAGAGTAACAGCCAATTAGAAAAATGACTGAAGTTTCATAATCATAACAATATCATCTCTTGTTTATAAAGCACTTTAGAATTTTCAAAGTGCTTATATGTATATATATTTATTGTAAGCTTCAAATCAATTCTTGTTTTCAAGATAAGGAAGCAGAATTGGAGAGGTTAAATGATCTGCTGAAATGTCCCCGCTAGCCAGTGACTCTCAGTCCAGACCCTCCCCATGCTCTTTGCTGCTTCGTCTGCTGCTTCATTACCTGTGTGCTGCTCTAGGACATGCTGCTCCAAGTGCCACTACCCGATGACAGAAGGAAATTGCACTAGAATGTAAATCAATGCATTGCTTCCTTTGTCAAGGAAATCTTGCAGTGTATACAGTAATCTTAAATCTTAACAGCGTACATAGTAATATGGTGGATTTATATGTTGGTGCAAGCTTCATGTTGTTGCAGAATAGCAACAAACAGTTCCTAGACTGCCAGCCAGCTTGCAGACCATACTTTTTGAATAGCATTGCTCTGAGGGAAACCATCATTCTAACCATCAATTATGTAGACAAGGTGTGTGCCAGACCCTTTCCATTATTTTTAATCCCTTTGAGCTAATAACACCCTTATAAGGTAGATGTGTGTGTGTACAAAATATATATATATATATACATATATTCACCTATACATAAGCAAAATGAACCTCAGAGAAATTACGTAGCTTGTCCATGACCACAAGCTTGAGTCTGTTAAGCTCCCAAGTCCACGTTCTTATCAGTCACCCGTAGCTGAACAAGGCACACTGTCATGGGCTCCAAGTTACTTTCTATTAACCTGGCACTTCTCTCTAGGGTACTGCCTGGGCTGTAGCTGGATCCAGAGCAGGAAGGAGGGAGGTGCAATTCTTAGAGCCAGCTATGCCTCTGTTCAAAAGCAATTTGTTCTCTCTCCACATCCCTTTGTGAGTCAAACTGACCCAGGAAAAACTGAGCTATCACTTAGAACAAGTTGACATTTATTTCTGAATGCAAATGGAAAATCACTCTTGAAGAATCAATTAGAAAGCAATTAATTTAATAATGTTGGATGGGAATAAAATGAGTCAAGCAGCAAAATATAAAACAGAAAAGTACCATAAATACACTCTAAATTCTTTTGGCCAGAATTCACATTCCATTTGTCCAGACAGATTTGTTAGCTATAGGGTCCTGAGGAACAGCATTTGTTTTAGGGGCAGATTTCTATCAATGAAAATATTGTACTCTTGTTATTTGCCTCTGCAAAGGCATTTTCCTTTTTGGGGGCTCATTAATCCCTGTGGAATGGCCACAATTATGTAGTTGCAGAGAGCAAATGCTTCAGAAAGCTATGAACAGATTAGCTCTATTCCCAGCCTCTGATTTCTGAGGCTGCTGCTCCTGGTGAAATTCTGATTTAAATGTCGATGGTTCAGGATCATTTTGCTCTGACAGCTTGTATTTTCCAAGTGAGAACTCCTACAGTGAATCTATAATTCTCCTGAAGTTTAAATGAATCTTTTTTAAAAAAATGTATATATAAAACTTCCTGGTGTTGATAACTGGCCCATTGTATAAATCAAGATGGGGCAGAGGAGCTACCCATAATTGTCCTTAACTATAACAGAGGATAATTTTATAATCATGAAAATTGTTTAGCTTTCCCATATTAATATTTGCCCCTTGCCTCTTTATAATAATGCCTTAAATTCATAGACAGGCAAACATTTTAGAATACATTGTCACACCCATTATTCCACTTCATTCTCCAACCCTCCTGTAAATTAGACAGGCCTGCACTAATCTAGTTCTATCCAGATGAAAAACCAGACATTCCAAGACATTGAGTTGCCCAAACTCTGAAGGCTGCTAAGACCAGAATCACGAGATTTCTTACACTCTTCCCCTTTTAGGTCTAACATTTTCAGTGATTGGGATGTATTTATTGGCGTGTATAGGTTCACCCCTAATATTTGCAAGGCCCAGGGCAAAAGTGCAAGCAGAAACACACATACAATGTGTCTAAATAGTTGAAAGTTATAAATGAAACCAATAATGTTCTACCTTCCTTTCTTGACAAATATACCTTCAAAGGAATAAAGAATTAAAGGATTTTGGAATTCCTCAGCAGTCCATGCCGGATACAGCCCCATGCCTACAACCTACAGCCTGCAGCCTGGCACCCTCTTTACTCCCCACCTCTAGCGTCCTCCACAGCAAGAGCAGCACACACATGAAGATGCCCCAGGCCACACAACAAAGCTCCCTAATGACCTCTTCTTCCCACACAAACCATTTGGTTCCCCCTCCGGCCTGGGGAAAAGATGGCTATGGGAAAGAAGTTTGTATATGCCCACCAAGCAGGCTCAGGCCATTGTGCAGGGCCTTCCCGGGTCTTGGTTACCCAAAGCATGAGCTAGAAGGGAGCACAGACCTCCTGCAGACTCTGGCTCCATGGGAAGTGGGGAAGCCAGGGAGACCCAAAGCAGGACCCTTTAAAGTTCAGGCCTGTTGTACAGACCTGAGGGTCATAGCCCCTGTATGGATGATAGGCGCATGTTCTGATTTCAGATCGAAAATCTAATACTAGAGAGAACTATGGGACAGACTTATCAATGAACAATTGTGCACTCTTGGAGGTTCTTAAGGCCCAGTCCAACTTGTTAATTTCTTCTGAAGCAGTTTGATTTCCTAACTTACAATTTGCAAATACACATAAAATCATCTACCAACCTGTACCATTTGTTTGCTTGTTTGCTTGTTTACACCCTGCAAGCTGTACCTAGATGCCTGATTCAATGAAGTCAGTGGTTCTTTACTGCTTACCCAAGACATAATAAATCCTCTTTCTGCTGGGAGAGGGTTTGCTGTCTAGGTTTCCTTAGGAAGTTAAGCACCTACTTGCAGTATCGCTGCATCTCTATGTTTGCATGGCGGAACTTTTAATCTGGATACTTGTGCTGCATAGCTGTTAAATTGGGGTTCTCTATTAAGAGAATTCATGTTTGCAAAGCTGAGGAGGCTGGATTCTGATCTCAGGAATCTAGGATGCTCTCTACCCCTAACAACACACACCCATATCTTAATTTCTATTATTCCATGTTAACAGAGTCAAGAGTGTGCATAAGAATGAGGGAATCCAGACTCATTAAAACAAAAGAAAATAACTTTTATTAAATATATAAATACGCTTATATTTCTATTTTTCCTTCTGAAATTCTGATTTATCTATTTGTTGTTGCCAACTTACCTTGTCACCCTTATACCCAGGAATGCCCTAATTAAAAAAGAAAAGAAAAGGTAAAATATGATATTATAAGGCAGAGTTAGAGTAAGTATTCGATGTTTTTCACTTACAAGGCATAACAAAAACACATGTATCTATACAGTCTTGGAAAATAAGGCCATATAAATGTAAGCTATTTCACTTCTCTTTGCACTTGAGGAATGTACATTTACTAAGGAGAAGAAAAGAACCTATTTTTCTCTACATTACATTCTATCCTCAGTTTCAGGTATTTTTTCAAACTCAATTTCTTACCCTTTGGCCCAAAGCTGAAGGAGATAGTGTACACTGAAAGTCATTGTTAAAGTGATGACCTATAATGGTCCTTTCAAAATTGTCATATTGACTTTTAAACTCTGAACTATTACAGTTGAGAATGTTTCACAGAGACTCTTAGAGAAATTGGCTTTGAAAATGAGTTGAGATAATGGCCTTTAAAATGTGTGTAAATATTTGTATCCTTTCAAATTCAGGCTAGAATACATAACATCAAGGAAGTAAATGATTCCTTTATCAAACCCTAATGAAAACGTGACCTTTAAGTTACTGTCTTTTATCTCATGCTAAAGAAGGGGCCAGTGCTTCTGCTGTCTTCTGTGTGGCTCTTGGGAATCTTGCACCATTTCCCCCACTGTCACTGCCCATAAGCTCTTTAAGTACAACAATAAAATACTAAATGGACTGGGAAATTACCAGCCCTAAACAGCGAGTCTTTTTCAAATGTCATATCTTGTCTTTTTCATACAACTTTATTTTTCAAGCATGGAAATAGAATTGGGAGAAATATTTAAAATGTGCTTGAGAAACCTGTGGAATAATCAAGTTTTTATTACAGTTACATGTGAGTCAGACTACAAAATTTCGTTCTGTGTGACCTTTTCACAAAAGGAAACTTCATGAAGGAAATAACACTTCTCTCCAAATGAGTGGCCACTGAGGAGTAGAAGATAAAGGTACAATTATTCAAAAATATTGTTACACTTCAATTTCACCCAATTGAGAAATATGTGTTCACATAAATAGTCTAATTTTAAGAATTATGCTTAAAATTAAAGACCATATTATAGACAGTTAAATTGGGATTCTCTATTAAAACAATTCATGTTTGTAATGCTAAAAAAAAAAAAAAAAGCCTGAATTTCTAATCTCAGGGATCTTGGGGCACCCTCAACTCCTTATAACACACAACCCTATTTAAAATTCTGTCATTTTAATCTTTCAGTCCAAATAAAAAAAAAATTCTGTCATTATTTTATGTTAAAAGATTTAAGATTGTATTTTGGAAGGAGCCAATGTGGCTTTACAAAAATAAAGGAATATTACTTTTTTTTATTTCAGCATATTATGGGGGTACAAATTTTAAGGTTGTATATATTGCCCTTGTCCCCCCTGCCCCCACAACTCTGAGCTTTAAGCATGACCACCCCCAGATGGTGCACATCTCAGTAGTATATTCTTTTTTCCTGGTTTTTGTTCTGAAATCCTTGGTTAATTTATTGTTTGGTTGCTGTATCAGCTCATTTTCTTCTTCTTTCTTCCTTTAAGAGGATCTTAATGATCAGTTTTAAAATATTCAAATCTAAAATATCCAAAGTTGCACTAATCAGTCTCTGACAAATTTGTTTTTGACTTTTCTATTTCAAGTAATGATACACTTCAAATCACATAGAATAAAAAAAAAAATTTTTTTTTTTTGAGTCTGAGTCTCACGCTGTTGCCCGGGCTAGAGTGCCATGGCATCAGCCTAGCTCACAGCAACCTCAAACTCCTGGGCTCAGGCAATCCTATTGCCTCAGCCTCCTGAGTAGCTGGGACTACAGGCATGCGCCACCATGCCTGGCTAATTTTATTTTTCTATATATATATTTTTTTAGTTGGGCAATTAATTTATTTCTATTTTTAATAGAGACGGGGTCTCACTCTTGCTTAGGCTGGTTTCCGAACTCCTGACCTTGAGTGATCCTCCCGCCTCAGCCTCCCAGAGTGCTAGGATTACAGGCGTGAGCCACCGTGCCCAGCCCCAAATTTTATAAACTTAGTTTTCTCTCTCCTTCTCTTACCCATTACATCCCTTTAATACAACCTGTTTAACATTCTCCGACAGCTTCCCACTGTACTTAGGGTGAATTCCACTCCACTGGCCTACAGGATTCTCAGCGACCCAGCCCCTGCCTGCCTCTATGGTCTGGTCTCCTGTCACTCTTCACTAACAGTTTCTGTCTTTCTTCCCGTTTCTTGAGCCTGGCAACCTTGTTCCCACCTCAGACCTTTGTATTATACTTGCTGCTTCTTCTGCCTAGAACACCCTCATTCCTTTGTTTTATATTTTCATAACCTTTCTCACTGTCAGAAATTATATCTTTTTATCTGTTTGCCTATTGATTCCCAACCCCCACCCCAGAACACTTCATGAGACTGGGACTCTCTGTTTTGCTCACCCCTGTATCTCCAGCTAAAAGAGTGCTCAGTACTTTTGACTTTATGAATTAGAGTTCACACATTATCATTTCCACCCCGTCGTGGACTCTCACAACATTCTCCTCCTTTCTATGTTGTTACCACTGTAGCCCAATGCTGTCCAATATAGCGTGAGCCACACATGTGACTTTAAATGTTCTAGTAGCTACATTTAAAAAAAAAAACAAAATAAACAGGTAAAATTAATTCTAATAAATATATTTTATCTATCCTAATAGGTTCAAAATATTGTCATTTCAAAATTTAATCAATATGGAAAATTATCGATAAGACTATACATCTTTTTCTTATACTACATCTTCAAAATTCATTGTGTATCTAACTCCTACAGGACACCTCAATTTGGTCTAGCATGTTTCAAGGGCTCAGGAGCCATATATGGCTAGTGGCTATCGTACTGGCCAGAGCAGATCTAGCCAATGTCCCTGCTACCTCTCCTATCGGCTGTAGCAACAAACCTTCTAAGTGCCCGTTCCTTCTTGTTCTCACTTCAAATTTGCTTTTAGAGCCTTGCCATATTAATCTTCCCAATACGCAGCTCTTGGGCCATAAATCTTATCTAAAATTTCGGGGGCTTCCCGTCACCTAGCAAAACCCAGACTTTGCAGCCAGTATTGAGCATCCACTCTGACCCAAACCCTCCCTTCAAGCTGTGTCTGTGCCCTTCAGGTACCTCACCTCACCATTGCCCAACCCACTGCCTTCACTCTGGCCGCTGCTCATGGCGTTCTCTCCACCTGGAACACTTGCCCCTTTCCACCTTCTTGCTCCTTCCTTGCCTGTCACAATCCTCTATCTTCTTCAGGATTCATCCCATAAAACCTATCCCTATGGCTCCAGTCTTCTCTGAATGGGTACAATACCTTGTTCATGTCATTTTTACAATATTTTGACATTCTGCCTTATATTACAGCTATTTTGAATATCTTTCCTTTCCTATAAGATAATAAACTTTTTAAAAATATAAGTGCTGTGTCTTAGTTTTATTTTCACACATTAGTATACTTTATATGGAAAAGATATCTAAGAAATGTTTCCTAAACGAATAACACAAATTTCTGAATGAATTTCTTTGGACATTATCAAATTTTCTATCATATTTTTTTTTATGAAAAAATGGATTAAAATGGATTAAATTAAATTAAAATGGAATAAAAAATGGATTAAAAACACCGAAAAAACCATTTTTTAAATCTCTGGATCTGAGTCCAGGGCTTGCATCCAAGGGGACAAGCAGAGAGGTACAACACTAACACAACCTCCTTTTTATTCACTATGCATGTCTCTGCTATTTGCTATACTTACTGCAATGCCCAGGAAAAAATGCAAAAAAAGATATATACTGTAATTATTCTCATGCAACATCTGCTATCTTCTAATTTTGGGGATAAGAAATCAACTAGAATGATGACTTTTGTCTACACAATTGTATTGACAACAGCATAGTTTAGACTATATAATTCTTATGCTCCTGAAATTCTTATTCTTTATTATGAAAAGAGATAAGAAATAAAGCAAAACACTTTTCTCATCTGAGCCTTTCACAAATGCCAAATTAAGCATTAGGGAATGTCATATGGTTGAACAGTCCTGGTCTCATTTTCACTCCTGTTGAGCAAAGCATTTTCTCCCCACATTTCCACTTCTAAGATCATATCTGTCTGATTGCCTGCCTGAGCCATCAAGAGCACAGGTAGACAGAAATCACTTTTGCACTTGCACCACAGGGGTCAAAATGGTCAATCGCAGAATTATAGCATCCTGGGATCCCTTTCTTAGGAAGGCATTCCAGTTGTGTACATACCCCTGGACCTCTTTCTCCAGTTTCTCCTTTTTGAGCATCACCCTGTGACAAACAAAAAGCTCAGTCAAAATTCCACAGCCCTGCAGAGTGACTGATAGCTCAATAAAATGCATTATTCAGAAGTCCTATATTAATAGGTTAACTCAATTAGGAAAAATCTTTAGTCTTTACCATTGACATTTTCTCCATGCAATCTAGGAAAGAAAATAGCTCAGATAAACTTTGCCCTTTGGAGTGAAGCCAGATGTGTAGGATGCAGAATCCAGGTACACTTTCATCGCTTACACCACATCCCGGTTCAACAACACCACAGTTACTCTCAAATGCGGCATTGTTCTCACTGGGGGGCTGGCCACTCTGGCTATTCTCCATGGGGCTTTGGAATGTTTTCCAAAATGTCCTGAAGAGTAATTGCTTGCTTTTAGCCAGACTTAGGAAAATATATTATGTAGCAGAAAATCACAAACCAAATAGATGAAATGGGAACATACACTTAGGTATTTAACACAACAAGAAAAGAGGACATGATGGCAACAGTTTGGACCCATATAAGATAAGTGAGTACAGGGTGTTTTTGTTTGTGTGTAAGTGTGTGTGTTGTAAAGCTAGCCAAAGATGCTATACATTCCCTTTCCCTGACAAGCAGGCAATTGCCAAAATACTTTTATGTATATAACTTATTATATTTTTCATTACCTCTCAAAAAATATTCTCAGGAATAGAGTGGTGTTAAATGTTTAAGTATTTGAATGCCTCCTATGTATTGCCTAATTGCTTTCCAAAATGTCTGTGTCAAGTTACCTTTATAATGAAGAGCAAACCAGTTTCACCATCACACTGCTGTCACTAGTTATTTTAGTATTGCTGCATAATCGCTTTAAGGAAAGAAATGTTTTTTAAAGTTTGAAACACACACAAAATAACTATGTGAACTAGAAAACTGCTTCCAAAAAAAAAAAATCCTCTGGATTCCAAAGTTTTTAAAATGTAAATAATTAGTATTAATGGGTACCTCATCGTCTCAATTTAAATTTCTTTCATTACCTAATCAAATTAAATGCTTTTCTATTTTTTTCTTTACCAGTTTTATTTCATATCTTGAAAATAGTTTGTGTCATTTGCCCATTTTATTGTTAGAGGCTTGATATTTTCTCAACAATTTGATAAGGTTTTTATATACCATAGAAATTAACTCAATGCACTATAGAAATTAACCCAATGTCCACTCTACTTATGCAAATATTCCCTGATATGTCTTCTTCTTTACTTTAATTATATATTTCTATTATACAGAGTTTTACCTTCAATTTTCACATAGTTTATCTGCTAATCTCTCTGCTTGTGATTCATTCAGTTGTCCTTGAACTTGGAACAGTAAAATACCAACAATGATCTGAACAGATAAGTTATTTCTTTAAAAATCTAGGATTTTTTTAGATAGATGCACAAAGAAAACAACTGGGGAAATGTCTAAAGAAGTTCTGGGAGTTTTTTCTATTATTATTGTAAGTCAGTTATCTATAAAATAGATCCATAAAAAACACAAATGCCAATACCAATCTGATGTGGAACATATATTAGTAGTTCATGAAACATTGTCCTGATGAATTTGGGCCACTATTATTTATGTACTTATTCAATGTCCCTGGATTTCCTGAACCTATTAAAATGTTCATATGTTCCTCAGAATTTGGGAATGAAAGCTAACACAACAAGATAGATAATGTAGGAAGTGAACATCCTATATTATTCATCAAAATTGTCAGATTTTTGCTATATACTACAATATTCTTTATTTCTTAAATTTTTGTTCCTTAATTCAATCTAGGAGATAAATTGATTTAAAGAAAAGCTGTTTATTCATTTACCGGGTTTCCTTTTTGTCCTCGCTCACCTTTAATACCTGGGTTTCCATGTGTACCCTGAAGGCAAAGGAAAAAAAATGATTATTTTAAGCAAATGTTCTATTCGTTTTCTATATGTTATAATAGTTTCTAATCAGCTTCATAATAGTTTCTAATCAGCTTCATCCCATAGAATGAATATGGTAAAACCTTCACCTGCCAAGCAGAGACTCGATTCTTTTCTTCCCTTTCCTACACCACAAAAACGGCACTGTCTTGAATTGGCAGATTCTCTGGATTTGCTCAAAAGAGGGTACTGTCTCTCTCTTCCTGTCAATTACTTCTTCCCCAAACAATTACTTCTCAGCAGCTTTGCAAACAAAATTAAACTCATTCAAAAATTTAAAAGAGTGACTGCAACAGGCAGGAGGATGGGAGTTGTTCCTGCCCTCTCTTCACTGCGGACCACGTCCACAGTTCTCCTCGCTTGGTCACCTTTAAAAGAACCAGGCCAGCTTCCTTGCCTTTGGCCAAAGAGGTTCTGATCTCCAGGGGACAATCTCAAAAGATAAGAAGGGAGTTTTCCAATTTGTTCCAGAAAAGCATTTTGTTTTCCTATTTCTAAGGCCCCAAAATGTTTGCTTCTCTTTGAGAACTCGTTTTGGAGGTACTCAATAAGTATTAAATAACATAGCTCTGTGGTGTATCCTGGTTAAAAATGACAATATTGAGTGACTAAAATTGCCAGCTATCTTAGCAACTGTAAGCTTTCTTACTGTTCATTTTAAAGCATAATTGAATACCCTTTCCCCTGGCAATCTCTTCGTGTATCAAGTATAAACTAAAACTTAGTAGAAAGAGAAGGGTAAGCCTTTGCTTTAACCAAAGTCAGCTTTTACCAGTTGTATTTTAGAGGGAAAAAAACCCAAAAAGACAAATAAACATCCCTACTCTTTAATCCGCTAATTGGTACAGTGATTTGAAAAGTGTAGGCTTTGGACCTGAGTACATTCACAGTACACGTTTCCCTCCCGACTCCTAAATACAAGAATTAGTTGAAACATTTAATTCATGCATTTTGTGAAACATATTTATTGGGCTTCTATTCTTTAAGGATAAGATTTAGAATCACAAATAAATGGAATATTGAACGAATAGCATGGATGCTTTCTGATGAGATGTGTTAGCATCTCCAGTGGTCTTGATGTCATTTCAAATGCTTTCCCGATACAGAAAAGGGAAGGATACAGCACCTACCAGATATTAAGCCAGAATATAAAGGGAGTACTCCATCTTGGATTATCTTATCAAATAGGGAATCATCATAGTAAATCCTGCTATTTATTTTTGTTTACCAAGTGGGTACTTCTGTTTCACAGAATTCACCCTAATCCCCTAAAGCTTCGGTCCAGTCCCCAAGTCCCTGGGGCTGCTGACCAGTACTGGCCTGTGGCCTGTTAGGAATCAGAACACACAGCAGGAGGTGAGCATCAGGTGAGCGAGTGAAGCTTCATCCGTATTCACAGACACTCCCCATCACTCACATCACCACATACGTTCCGCCTCCTGTCAGATCAGCTGCATCATTAGATTCTCATAGGAGTGTAAACCCTGCTGTAAATTGCACAATCAAAGGATCTAGGTTATGCGCTCCTTATGAGAATCTAACACCAGATGGTCTGAGGTGGAGCTGAGGTGGTGATGCTAGCACTGGGGAGCGGCTGCAAATACAAATCACCATTTGCAGAGAGGTTTGACTCCGCAATAAATGTAATGCGCTTGAACCATCCCAAAACCATCCCCCCTGCCCCCAGTCCATGGAAAAATAGTCCTCTATTAAACTGGTCCCTGGTGCCAAAAAAGTTGGGGACCACTGCCCTAAAGCATCCTAACCAACTTCTTTTCCATGAGGCCACACGCTGTTGCTACTGTACTGCTGGATTCATGTGAAGACAATATTAACTTCCAGAGAGGTTTGTGTCACTCGCTTCAAATGGGCTAAAGCTTTGCCTAAAGCATTGATGATCTGTATTCTCTTTTTCTGTATTTTCACTTCATTGTTGAGAAATTCCCACCCCAATTACTATATTAAGAGCGATGCTGAAATGTCCTTTATGGGAACGACTTCATCATTTTAAAACAAGTCTGCCTTCAGTTCAGGTCAGTAAAACCACAGGCTCACTTCTAAGGATAGAATGTGTCCCTTTAGAAATAAAAGAAAGACATAGTACTTCCATTTTTGCTTCTATTTCCAAACAATTGCTTTTTGACAGCCCAAAATAGCTCCAGTGCTTTCAAGAGTGAGTAGAGCTTATCATTGCTAGGACTTCCTGACTCAGCCCTAAGTTCAAAGTAGAAATATACTCACAGGAGGCCCTGGGTCACCTGGATCCCCCTTCTCACATTCACAGATCTTGCGTTCACACTGAATCAATGATGAAATACAATATTAACACATAGTGAAATACAACATGTCAAATTTTATTCAGTACATGACCATCTGAGATACTCCCTTAAAGAAATTTTACCTTGCAAGTTTATGGAGATTTTGCTCTCTCTATTAAATTATTCTAGGCAAACTTAGATCTAGTTACTGACAGTTAATAAAGTATTCTTAGACTTTGCTCTGGTTGAATGAAACAGACATCCCATCAAAAATATCTATATAATGTATAGGTGCCAGTTAAAAGGAGAAAAAAAAACATTTTGAGTGGACTTTTTGCTGCTTCTTCTATATAATACATCAAAGGTCAATAATATACAAACATTAAAAATTCCTTTACTTGGCAAAGAAAAACATTTGAATTATACCATATTTTATCAATTCTAAAATGCACATTTTTTCCTAATTTTAACATCTCCGAAATCAGAGTGAGTCTTATGACAGCTCTCAACCAGGTTCAGTCATGAGGAGGTAGTTGTTTTCTACACATGCACTTCAAAACTCACAGAATGAAATGGAAGAAAATTCCAGAATACTCTTGAGAAATGCTGCATCACCAATGCATTTGCTGGCATAGAAGCCAGTATTATGTGGAAAAACGAGGACATCAACAACTCAGACAAAAAGTGATTCAAAAGATTGAGATTCAGATGTGAAGAAGTTTTAGGAATAACCAATGTATTTTGCTTATATATTTCCTTCTATGTATAAACAAAAGTGATATAGGATTTAAATATCTATATTTAAAAGAATTCTTTCCATATGTATATAAATAAAAATTGTAATTGATAAGAAGACATTGTGTCATAATTTAATTGGCAAGGTTTTTTCCTTTCTTAATGGCACATAAAATAATGGTGTATCTGACCATGTACAATTCAATGAAATATGGTGCTCTACAAGATTGGGTTAGCTTCTTTACTTCTTTTATTTCTTTTTTTTTTTTTTTGAGACAGAGTCTCATTCTGTTGCCCAGGCTAGAGAGCGGTGGCATCAACATAGCTCACTGCAACCTCAAACTCTTGGGCTCAAGCGATCCTCCTGCCTCAGCCTCCCTACTAGCTGGGACTACAGGTATGTGCCACCATTCCTGGCTAATTTTTCTAATTTCTGTAGAGATGGAGTCTTGCTCTTGCACAAACTGGTCTTGAACTCCTGGCCTCCAGCAATCCTCCTGCTTCAGCCTCCCTAAGTGCTAGGATTATAGGCATGAAATACCACACCTGGCTAATTCCTATTATTTTATGCAACAATATTTGTATATTTCCTGATGTCAAATAAGCAGGTCATTGAACAGAGTTCGGATGTTCCAAACTCTTTGCAGTAAGAAATGCATATCCAGTACAGGACTTCTCAGCAAGCTCATGGTCATCTATTGCTAAGTCCTCTCCAACCAATATTGACCAGCGTTTTTTGCCATGTGGTCTAATTGCCATCATCAGGCTCCCATTCCTTCACAACGGGAAAAAGATGAGCTTGAAGTCAATCAACAGGCAGCAGGGGGTGACCCTGATCTCTGTCTCTTAGCCAGGAACACTTCTCTAACCCTAGCCAACACCAGAAACATCCCCCAAAGTTAAAGACCCCCATGAGTGGCTAGTGTCAGAGCTGTGCTTAGAATAAAGGAAGCCACATCAAAGTAAGCAAAACTAAGCAAAAACCATTGATTTTAAAATCACTCTGTAGAATCACATTAAATATTTCCTGCTTTTTAAAAAAATTTTCCAACTCGAAGTGGATACGGTGGCATAAAAGAAATCAGATAGCCGCCCAAAATAGAATGCCTCATTTTAAAAAGAATTAAGAATTTTTATTCAGTCATGCCTAATATTCTAACGTGAATGATAATGCTTATTTGATAATGCAAGTTTTTACAGTAATTCATAGTAATCAAAGCATGTGGTACTTACCTTCTTTTCAAATAAGGTATCCTAGAAGGGAAAAAAGAATGAAGCATTAACTCGACTCATGGTTCTGCTTCCAGCTACTTATTAGTCTTAATTATTCCCTATGGGATATGCAATTTCCAAGAAGAATAGCAATTCAGCCTTTTTAACCTTGTAAAAGCAATAAAGTCTACCAGCCAACCACCCAAGGAGCACTCTGAGCCATATGATAATAGGTGACATGACTAACATTAAAAATTAATCTATATTTTCTAGGAACTTTATCTTATTGCATCTTATGTTTTATCTTTTGTTTCTTTTATCAGCTCTAGAATCTCTATAATTTGGCTAGAAGCTTAATTAATCAGTCATAATTAGAAAGTTCTCACTTTTACTTACAAAAACTGAGGCAGAATACAAAATTGTGTATTTTCTTTTCTATTTTTTCCATCCCTATGTATATATACATGCATTTATTTTTCAGCATAAAAACATTAATTTTAGAGTCATAACTTCATGAAATATTAATGGACCTTAGATAAGCATATTAAAACTCAAAAAGAGAAAATCAGAAAATCCAATGACATTTTATGAAATGATCTGGTTTACGAGAAGACAAAGATTTCCATTACCGTGATCACTAGGAGAAAGGGTTTTATATTTGATGTTTGAAGAGCCTCACATATGATACTTCATACTTCTTTGGCATAAGAAAAAGATATTCAGCTTTTACATTTAAATAGTATGGGGGTGAGGGGTGGAGTAACATGATCAAATAGAAACATCCAGCAATCATCCCTTCCCATGAGCACCTATTTCAACATCTATCCATGCAAGCAAGCACCTTCAGAAGAATCAAAAATAAGGTAAGCGATCAAACTACCTGGTTTTAACATTATACCAAGGAAAGAGGTACTGAAGAGGGCAGAAAGAACAATCTTGCATTGCCTCACACAGGTAGAGAACCTGCAGCCTCAAGGCCACATGTGGCCCTCCAGATCCCCAAGTGTGGCCCTTTGACTGAATACAAATTTCATGGAACAATTAGGATTTGTTCCGTAAAGTCTGGATTCAGTCAAAAGGCCTCACTCAAGGATTCAGAAGGCTACATGTGGCCCCAAGGCCACAGGTTCCCCACTATGCCACCCTTGCCCATCCTCCCAACAGTGTCTGCACCAGCACACCAAGCGGAGAGAGAATCTGTGTGTCCAGGGTGGAGAGAGTGAAGTGATTGTGGGGCTTTGAATTAAAACTTACCCGGGAACAGCGGAACACAGCACAGGGCAAAATTCTTCCAGTGCCCATGGAGGGAGCATTTTGACCAGCCTGGCCTTTGCCCTGAAGCCTAAGTTCCTACTAGCCCCACCATTGGAAGACAAAAAGCAGCCTGGGGCTTGTACGAAATTCGTAAGGCAGTTGGGACACAAGGGCTGCAGTCTTTGGGCAATTCCTGGGGCTGTGCTGCCTCAGAGGCAGTGGACTTGGGATGCACACGACCCAGTGAGACACCAGCAGCTGTGGCCAAGCCACCGCCTGTGTCACCTCTCCCGCAACTACGGGCAGCTTGGCTCAGTGAAATTCTTTCACTTGAGGAAAGAAAAAGGAAGAGCTCAGAGGACTTTGTTTTACAACTTTGGTACCAGCTCAGCAACAGTAAAATTAAGTGCCAGCAGACTCCTGAGGCCTCTGAGCTCAGGCCTTAGTTCCTAGATGACATTTTTGGACCCACCTCAGGCCAGAAGGAAACATGCTACCTCGAAGGAAGGACCAGTCCTGGAAGGATTCACCACCTGCTGACTAAAGAGCCCTTGGACTTGAATAAACACCAGAGGTAGCCAGGCAACAGTCACCACTGCCCTGGGGTGAGACTGGGCTGGCTTCAGGTGTGAGCTGGTGCTCATGGCCACAAGGGAATGCCCATGTCACTCCTCTCCCAATTCCAGCAGCCCACAACAGTGAGGAAAGAGAGTGAAAGACTTTGCCTGGTAATTCCAAGAATTCTCTAGTATCTTACCCAAGCTCACCAAGGCAGTAACACCAGGAGTCTGCAAGAATCACAGCATTACTGGGTTTGGGGCTGATAAGGCTGCAGTAACCAAAGACTTAGCCCACAACACTCAATTCCTTTTAAGTATCTGGAAAGATTTCTCAAGAGGGATAGGTTAAAACAAGTCCAGACTGTGAAAATTAAACTAAATACCTAACTCTTCAATGCCCAGACATCAGTGAACATCCACAGGCACCAAGGACATCCGGGAAGACATGACCTCACCTAAAGAACTAAATAAGGTACCAGTGACCAATCCTGGAGTGATGGAGATAGGTGACCTTTCAGACAAAGAATTCAAAATAGCTGTCCTGAAGAAGCTCAATGAACCTCAAGACATTACAGAGAAGGAATTCAAAAGCCTATCAGATAAATTGAATACAGAGATTGAAATATTAATAATAAAAATAAATCAAGCAGAAATTCTAGAGCTTAAGAATTCAATTGACAAACTGAGAAATGCATTAGAGTCTCTTAACAGCAGACTTGACCAAGCAGAAGAAAGAATTAGTGAGCTTACAGGTTTACAGGCTATTTGAAAATACATAGTCAGAAGAGAAAAAAGAAAAAGAACAAATAAGCATGAGGCATTCCTACAAGATCCAGAAAATAGCCTCAGAAAAGCAAATCTAAGAGTTATTGGCTTTAAAGAGGAGGTAGAGAGGGAGATTGGGATAGAAAGGTTATTCAAAGAAATGATAACAGAGAACTTTCCAAACCTAAAGAAACATATCAATATTCAAGTACAAGAGGGCCATAGAACACCAAGTAGATTGAACCCAGACAAGGTATTCAAGGCATTTAATAATCAAGCTCCCAAAGGTCACAGATAAAGAAAAGGTTCTAAAGGAAGCAAGAAAAAATAATAATAATAACATATAAAGGAGCTCCAATACGTCTAGCAGCAGATTTCTCAGTGGAAACCTTACAGGCCAGAAGAGAGTAGCATGGCATATTCAAAGTGCTGAAGGAAAAAACCTTAACTCTAGGATATTATATCCAGCAAAAATATCCTTCACACATGAAAGAGAAATAAAGACCTTCCCAGACAAACAAAAGTTGAGGGATTTCATCAACACCAGACCTGTCCTACAGGAAATGCTAAAAGGAGTTCTTCAATCTGAAAGAAAAAGGACATTATAGAACAATAAGAAATCTTCTGAAGGTACACAACTCACTGGTAACAGTAAGAACACAAATACGGAATACTCTATTGCTGTAATTACAGTGTATAAACCCTTTATATCTTGAGTAGAAAGACTAAAAATCAAACCTATCAAAAGGAACAACTTCTTGAGAGAGAGAGAGTCTAAAAAGATATGGATGGAAATAATAAAAAGTTAAAAAGGTAGGGGGAGAGGAATGGAGCTAAAGGGTAGAATTTCTGTTAGATTTCTCTTTCTTTCTTTGTAAGCAGAGTTGTCATATATTTAAAATAATTGGTCATGAAATGCTTTTTGCGAGCCTTGTGGTAACCTCAAATCAAAACAACCTACAACAGATACACAAAAAAATAAAAAGCAAGAAATTAAAACACACTACCAGAGAAAATCACTTTTACAAAAGGAGGCAAGAAGGAAGGAAAAAATAGAGAACCACAAAACAACCAGAAATCAAATAACAACATAGCAGTAGTAAGTTCTTATCTAGCAATAATAACATTGAATGTGAATGGATGCCAAAAGACATGGAGTGGCTGAATGGATAAAAAACAAGAGCCAACTATATGTTGTCTGCAAGAAACCCACTTCACCTATAATGACACTTGTAAACTGAAAATAAAGGGATGGAAAAAGATATTCCACACAAATGAAAACCAAAAAAGAGCAGGAGTAGCTAACTTCTACCAGATAAAATAGATTTTAAGACAAAAATTATAAAAAGAGACAAAGAAGGTCATTATATAATGATAGTTGGGTCAATTCAGCAAGAGGATATAACAATTCTAAATATTAATATATATGCACTCAATATTGCTGCACCCAGATATATAACACAAATATTATCACAGCTAACAAGAGAGATAAATCCTAACCTCTTATTGCTGGAGATCTCAACACTTCGCTTTCAGCACTGGACAGATGACCCAGACAGAAAATCAACAATGAAACATTGGACTTAATCTGCACTATGGACCAAATGGACCTAACGGATATTTACAGAACTTTTCATTCAACAGCTTCGGAATTCACATTATTCTTCTGAGCTCATGGATTCTTCTTCAGGATAAACCATATGTTAGGCCACAAAACAAGTCTCAAAAAATTCAAAAAAATTGAAATCATATAATGTTTTCTATGACCAAAATAGAATAAAACTAGAAATCAATAACAAGAGAAACACTGGAAACTATACAACAACATGGAAATTAAGCAATATGCTCCTGAATGACCCAGTGGGTCAATGAAGAGATTAAGAAGAAAATTTAAAAAAATGTTTAAATAAATGAACATGAAAACGCAACATATCAAAACCTATGGGATACAGAAAATTTTAACAGTATCAGGAACAATATTTTGGTAAAAAATTTGAACAGTGCATAGCAATATGCATCGCTTATGTAAAAGAGGACCTACATTTATGACTTACTAACTTAGGGGAAAAATTAATGCAAAAATAATAGATGTTTCATAATAAAAAATGATAATTATGAAAAATAAAAGAAAATATTAAGGAGCCTGGGAAGTCAATCAGCCCAACCTCCCACTTTGCAATAAGGAAACATGGTTCCACAGTGATATGATTGGACCAAGGTCACGCACTCGGGCTGAGCCCCCTGACCATCTTCAATGCCACTTCATACTTACCCACACAGGAAAGAATTAGCCAGAGTAGTGTTCAAACTATTTTAAATTTGTAATTTCATAGAAATATCACAATCTTGTTTTTGTCCAACACTCAGGCCTTCCTGCCATGCTTCATAAAGCTCAGTGGGGTGTTATCTGACAAGTGCACCGCAGGCCATGTCAGAAGTCAAACACTGGAAACAAATGAACCT